ATACCACTCGCCATTAAAAAAATCAAATGAAATAACCTTGCAGATGTTATTTATGTTGCGAATTTTATTCATAATCATATGATATTATCACATGCAACATGCAGAGTTTGGATTTTTATCAAACACAAAAGTCACAACTCTTCATAACATACATGTACATAATTGAGGATATAAATGGCTTATATTATCGACTCTTTATTACATTAAACTTGAATTAACGCTCGTACCACGTGAAAATTCTAGAGAAACCCGCCATTTTGTTGAATGGCTGGAGATGGGTAGTTCGGAGCTTCTGATTGGATAGCGTGGGTCAAGTCAGCCAATGGGAGAGCGGGTTCTAAATTGTGATTAAAATCTGTGTCAAGGTTCATGCACTTGCATTCTACAGTACAGAGCGTATAGATAGGGTATATAAGGCCACTTAAAGTCAGTCATAGTCGAACGGTCGGGGGTGCGAACCTCAGCTGGAATATTATTTATTTCACTCTGTGGTAAGCATCTCAAGGGGAGACTTTGTCTTCGGTGATCAGCAAGTTCTGCAGGAATAACCCATTATTCCGCTCGGGGCAGGTTCGATCTCCGGGGTAGAGTTTTACCTTTAGTCCTTAAGGCTAAGACGGGCGTTCCAAACTATAGGGAAATTGTTGGTTTATTAGTAGAATTATGAGTTACTAGTTATTTCACGGGTTCCGTTTGGGTGACGTAAGATTTGTTGTCTTCTTCTGTGCGAATATTATCAGTTCGGGCTGAGGCAGGCATAAAGTTGTGATGTATATATATTTATTAGTAGAATTATGAGTTACTAGTTATTTCACGGGTTCTGTTTAAGTGACGTAAGATTCGTTGTCTTCTTCTGTGCGAATATTATCAGTTCGGGCTGCGGCAGGCATAAAGTTGTGATGTATATATATTTATTAGTAGAATTATGAGTCACTAGTTATTTCACGGGTTCCGTTTGGGTGACGTAAGATTCGTTGTCTTCTTCTGTGCGAATATTATCAGTTCGGGCTGAGGCAGGCATAAAGTTGTGATATATATATATTTATTAGTACAATTATGAGTTACTAGTTATTTATGGGTTCCGTTGGGTTGATATAAGATTTGTTTGCTTTCCTCTGGATGAATATTATAAGTTCAGGCTGAGGCAGGCAAAGGTTATGATATTTATAATTTATTGTAAAGTTACGAGTGTTTAATTATTTGAGGCTTCCGTTTGGGTGATGTAAGATTTGTGACGTCCCTCTGGATGAATATTATTAGTTCAGACTGAGGCAGGCGTCAATTGTTGTCAATATCTTTCCTAAGTTTGATCCATTCGGCTGTTTCATTCGGAAGATATAGAATTTTGTGTAGACGGGACCCTCAGTTTCTTGTTTGCTAAAGAGACATAGTTGATGAACTTAGCAGAGTTCTTTTATTTCAGCTGGTTCACCATTGGAGGGGAGAAGACCAACAGTTACGAACGCACGTTTCGGTCTTTCAGTTTTTGTATTTTCCGAAATAAAACTTTGAAACTTTATAAATGTGTTCTCTTTTCCTTCAGTTCCCTGACATCCTGTATACGAACCTGGACTTCCGGTTTGCATTAAGGTCGGTCACACCCACCGCTCGAGTGCAAATCGATAACACCCCGTCCTGTTACATTTTATTGAAATTGTCTGATACGCTCAAGGTTTTACTTACATTTATGAAAACAAACATTAAATTAGTGATCTAAAATATTGCTGAGATCGGAAACACCCGTGGAATGTGGCAATACCTGGAAATCGGCACCGTGTCTGATTCCAAAGGGATGCTACTCCATCACAATACGGGTACAGACCACAGTTAATAACTGACTTTGACAAAAGAAAATGGTGCTTGTTGTTCAGTGTGTATTTTTAGATTTATAAGTGTTATTTAAAATGCAGATGCAATTTTTGAAAATTGAATTAACACAGTCCATTATAGTTGACAGCATTTAGTGTTCCATAATGCTTGGGAAGAAAATATATTTGTACCTGTTAAATAAAGGTATTAATTTAATTTTATAGGATTGTGTATGTATGAATGATAAGTGTGATATTAAAATATATACATTAATAAATCATAAATACATGAACATACAGTTTGGTATGCATAATAATAGTGCTGTGCTGGCTATATAAACTTTTAATTGACATTTTTTTTAAATCTTTTGTATTTTTAGTAGTATGGTAGACCAGGGGAGTGCCAGCTTGGGAAGAAAAAAGTATATTTCATGTTGATTTATTTAATACAGTTAGCTACATTGATTATATTGTATCATTATTGATTATGTTTAGTTCAAATTATTATTTAATTTTCTGTGCTGGTATTTCAAACCTCAGAAAATAAACTATTCAAGGTATGTGTCATGTGCTTGTATGGCTGTGTTGATACATAAATAAGCTTCATCTAGCTCTTTTCGTTTCTCAGATATGGAGTAGGGCTGAAAATGGAAGCAAAATGGCCGATTTCGCGAAAAGGGAGGTCTGCGAATTGGCGTTACTAAACGGACAGTAACTCTGTCAATTCTGCTCCAATTTTAAAAAAAATTGGTGTTGTTACAATGCTGAGATGTGTAGCTTTGGGAAAATAACAAGGTTATCGACAACAAATTAATATTTAAAAATAGCTGCTTGTAGCAGTTCCAGTTTACGTAATTATTTAATCTTCTGTACGGTTATTGCAAACATTAGAAAATAAACTCCTCAAGCTATGTGTAATGTGTTTGCATGATTGTGTTGATGTGTAAATAAGCTTTATTATGACTTTTGGTTTCTGAGATATGAAGTGGGGTTGAAAATTGAAGAAAAATAGCCAATTTCACAAACAAGGGGTCTGCCAGTTCGTGTTACTAAATATATAGGCATTAACTCAGTTAATTCTGCTCCGATTTATAATACTGAGATGTACAGCTTTTGGAAAATAACAAGCTTCTGAAGAAGAAAATAATATTTAAAAAAAGCTACCAGTCGCTATTATGAGGAACCAAAACTATATATGGCATAAAAGAATAAAGGACATAACATATACCCAAATGTTTGGATTAAAAAAAAAAAAACGGAGTATTAATTGGCATTGGTGCTTCCTGGTTTAGGAGAAGAAGGTTTGAAACACGGATGGAGTTGTGATAGTTATGTTGATATTGTTCGAGGACATCCATGTGATGATTAATTTAAATTTGATTTACTTCAGAATTCATAATTAAATATCACAACCACCAATTAATTTTATGTCCTGCGTCACTGGTCACTGTACAATACACAGTATACTACAAACTCTAAAATATGATGCATGTTTTCAGAAATAGAACAAAAAAAATACTTTTTTATTTTAACTTACTGTTCAAAATGGAGTTAGCTGCTTTCTGGATTGACTGTCACATGACAAAATGTGTGTGCAGTCCATTACAATTAACTGAGGGCATCAGAGTAGGCCTTTATCACACGACTTTGTGTGCTGAAGGTCACCTTTAATGTCGGTCCCCTTTGAATTTAAGCAAATAATTTATATACTCTACGGTAACTGTCCTCAATTATGAGGCCCGACACTCAATGCAAGTGTGTATGGCCACACACGTATAACAAGAGATTGCATATTCGATATGTGAATGAAAAGGGAAAGGCGGTAATATAAATAAATGTATATGAAGAAACTTAATGCATATTTGTATTATCCATTCTAATTGCGTGCAATAAGAAGTTATCTACCATTAGGCCACAAAATCCTCTGCTTTGTTTATAAATTATACTGGTACATTGTGTATTTTATAACTTAAGATGGGGGGTGGGGGATATGCCTACTATGCATCTAGTATTTATAAAGATCATGCTCGAAATATGTCTGCATATGTTACAGAGTGTAAGACGTGGCATGTTACACACCCTAGAATACTGTTGGTAACTGCCTGTAAGACCTGTATCCGTTACTAATCATATGTTGCAATGTGTATGTCTTGTGCATTATTATACACCATGTGTATCTGTTGCTGACATACAGACAGGACATGCATATGTTACTCCATTTATCTGTTACCGACCGTAACCTTCATCTATTACTAAGACCCACATCGTGTACGTGATATGGATTGTAAAACATGTGTATCTGTTACTGTTAGACACCATGTTTATCTGTTACTGTTAAACATGGCATGTATATATTTATAAGTCACCTTGTGTATCTGTTACTGACTGTAAGACACAGCATTTATTCAAAGCGCTGTTCGTCACTCTGAGAATTGACTGTCACTTGTGTAACCATTAATTGACATAAACGAGGACACCTTAAATTTAGCCGATACACACAACAATTTTTCTTGATAAAAACGCTAAACACACCGATACACCCCGACAGTACAGAACCGCTTTATTGAGGTATGAATTATAATCAAGAGATTTTTACAGATTTATCTATTTTGGGGCTTCTGAGCATGCCTGGACGTCCTCGATTCAGGCCATGTCCGCAAATAGGTTTAAATCTTAATTTGTGGCCTCGATAAGGAAAATCCACAAACACACACACACACATACTGAGCCTCCAGACTAGCATTCAGGGAATTAATAAAATAAATATTTCTTGTGCATTATCATATTTTATGGCACCTTAACTTACTGTTTAATACTATGAAGTATGACACACGTCTCCTAATCATTAAAGTTTGACAATAAATGGCTTTGATAGTGCAGTAAACTGAATTTGTCTCATATTAGATATTTATAGTTATAGTATATGGACAATGCAAGCTGACATTGGATTCTCCCTCAATCAAGTGAAATGATAAACAAGTCCGTTTTTGCGGCATGGGGTAATTTTCTTCTAATTAAAATGTTTTGAGAGGAATTTGAAGCAAACTTTTGATAAATTAGTTTGAATATGTGTTTTGTTTAAATATATCAACAAATCACACAGTTTGTATGTGGGAAGGCATCTTGAAGAACTTATTTTAGCTAGCACTTTGTGTATTTTCATAACTTATTTTTTTTACTATCCTCTTACAGAATTATTACTCTATACTAGGTTATAGATAATAAAAAAAAGGATATTTATCATGGCTATGCAGACAGAAAAAACTACAACAGTTGCTGAAGTACAAGAGGAAGAAGAAACATTTGGGCCTTTGCCTATTTCAAAATTAGAGGTAACTATTAAATCAAACTTACTGGAAATTAAATATTATTTCTCCATGTAAGATCAGTTAGAAAAATAGTATTGAATGAATTTAGTCCTCATTTCGAGTGGATATTGGTCTAGCATGTCTATTTCTAGAACACAGCCATTCAGCCAAACACATAAGACAATAAAAAAATAGATCGGGAGCCCAGAGGGTCAACCTAGCTGAAAAATGTACCAATTTTCGCCTATATGGTATCAATGCATGCATATCTGATACCTTAAAAATGTCAGTCTGCCAGTTAACAGGTGGTGGGTGTGGCTGGGATTCTGGGCATGAATTCTTGAGCTAGATTACATGTAGCTCAAAAGTGTACCTCATGAAAACAGCACAGCAGTGTACCTTACATCTTCAAGTATTACAAAAACACTCAGACATTTCTAGTGGTGAGGTACCCCTAGATAACAAACCTTAATCTCTCAACCCTCCGTGTTTCGAGATAAGACATGAGGCCATTACCTTCAACGTAGCACATGCGGGAGCGATTCGCACCCGGCATTTGTAAACAAAATTGACAATATTTTTAATAAAAACAACAATTGATTATTGTTATTTATAATATTTCTGCCAGACCCAACTACAATTAAGCATATAATCCTACCTGAAACGGGTACAAATCGTCGTTTTTAAAATCGAGGCGTTAAGCCGTTACTAAGACCGCCATCTTTTTAAATGATACGCTGTCAACATGAAGGCAGGGCTTAATATAAGGCTTTTATAACAGCCAATCAATAGGGCAATCTAAAGCTCTGTAACTATGAATGGATTTTGATGGCGGTGAATGTCAAACAAAAACAATGCTTCATTAATTTAAACGCGAATATTTGGAGTTAGGTGACAGTTGTGCCACTACATTGGCCTCTGTAAGTTTAAATAATCATAATAGCATAAACTTATCTTATTTTAAAGATGTTACATGCATTAATAAAGAAATTGAGTTTGCCACTTGGAACTAAAGGCATCCAATCGTAGCTAAAAACAAACACATCAGTATATCTGTAGAAGGCTACTACAGTCTATAGTGACTTGCAGAAGCAATCCTGTTGCGTTGTCTCCCTAAGTCAAACACGCGTTCAGTTTGTGAATAGGTTTATTACGTTTATTACATCATTACGTTGCATTGAAATACAGGTTTATTTATTATTCGTTAATAACACACACACATTGTAGAAGGCTTAAACAATTCAATGTACAGAACAGTTCAACAAACGAACTTGGGGTTCAACAAACGAACGCGGTTTCACTGAAGTTATAAAAATAACAGTGAACTAGACCTGCAAGCAGCACTGAACCGGCTTTCAGGAATCAGATAGGAAGTGTGTCATACAATAGCCCATTCATCGAGCTACCAAACGATACTTTAGGTGTTTTGATCAGGTGACACCCGACCGTGAAATCACGATTTTTGCAAGAGCACCGATTTTTACTGGGTTTTTTTTAATATCGAATATTTTTATGACTACGGTTTCATCGGTGCCACGTTACCCTAAACATATGTCACTTCCGGTACCAATGAAACCATTAAACAGGTTTCAAATAAAATGGACGCCAAATCAACCAAATCCAGCAATATCAATTGAGATCTACTCAAAACAAAAGAAGAATAATAATAATAAGAATTTTAACAAAAACAATAGTGTTTCACACAAGCTACGCAGTGTGAAACCCTAATAATTTTAACAAAAACAATAGTGTTTCACACAAGCTACGCAGTGTGAAACCCTAATAATAATCTTAACAAAAACAATAGTGTTTCACACAAGCTATGCAGTGTGAAACCCTAATAATAATAATAACTAGAACTGCGATGCAGTAATGACGGGTTTCACCGGTGCCACGTTACCCTAGACATGTCACTTCTGGTACCAATGAAACCATTAAAAAGGTTTCCACATAAGCATTGCACACATCAAATAAAATGGACGCCGAATCAACCAAATCCAACAATATCAATTAATTTTATACATGTTACATGTAAGTGTACAGTACTTCCGGTGATAATGAAAATGTTCAATTAGTTTTATGAAATCAGAAATGGCATAAGGCATCACATGGTGAAAATTTCATGTAAATCGAATAATAATTGCCACTTTTATAGACTAAAAACCTTGAAAAGTGACTTGTATAAAACTGTCTATTGCTCTGCAACCGTACAAGTTTGTATGATCATATGGGTTCAATCTATTTGTTGATTGGAATCAAATATCATAATTTTAAAACATTACAAATCAGGCTCATTTGAATAAAATATCTGTTTTGAAAGCTAAAAATATATTTTTTGCCAAAATGACATTACTTCCGGTGATATTGACAATCTTAAACTACTTGTATGAAATTGTAAATGGCATTAGGTATCACACAGTGAAAATTTTATGAAAATCGAATAATAATTGACACTTTTATGGACCAAAAACCTTGAAAAGTGACCTGTTGAAAATTGCCTATTTCTCCGCAACTGAACAAGTTAGAAACAATTTTGTGAAATCTATATGACCTCATGAATTTTATTAATATGTGAATGTAAACCAAAAGTTAAAATTATTAATACATATTAAATAATTCTTGGTTGAAAAAAATATTGATTTTAAAAGTTAAAAATGCATTTTTTGACAAAATGGTGTCTTTTCCGGTGTCAATTTTAAATTGTAATCAATTTGATACGACGCATACTTGCTTTTTGAACCAAATGGTGTCACTTTTGTGAAAATCCAATAATAATTGACTATTTTACAGGCAAAATAACGAAAACTTTGACTTATGCAAAATTGCCCATTTCTAGGTAACTGCTTATATTACAAACAAATTTTAACATACATTTTCTTCGTATGGATTATAACTACAAGTTTATAAAAGTTACGTAGAAATATTTTACAAATCTGACAAGCCTGAATGGGTTGTAAATAGGTCAATTTTACACCTTTTTTCACCTCTTAATCAAATTTGCTCGAAAATGAAATCGAAATTAAAAAAAACGATCCCAACATTTCGTGCGCCTTTAAAGGGCACACTCTTTTAGTTATATCAGTTTTTAAAAGAAATAATATTTGCTTTCGAAAAATGGTACCTAACTGTCAAAATTGTAGTTTTTGGTAAAATTAAGCCACTTCCGGTGCAGACAGATATCTCTATTGGTAACAAAAAAAAAATGACAATTGAGACAACGGAGTATATGAACTTTGGTTTATACAAATCGAGCAATAAATAATTAATCTAAGAATGAAAAACTGAATTAGCCAATGGCGGCTAAGGAAAATTACTGAGACCCCAAAATTTCACACTTTTGCCCAAGTCAGATGACTCGTTAATTTTGTGTAAAACACGACTAAAAAATATTTATAAATAATGTTTTTTGTAAAAATTTAAATTTTCAAATTTCAAACGACAAAAGCCATAGATGAATGCTCGAAATTGAAAAATGTGAGATAGCCATTGTCTCGGAAAAGATTCAGGCTTTCCAAAAATGTGAATTGTTTTAAAATAGGTAAAGAATTGGCGAAACCACGGCCGCTTTTTGATTTATTGCTACCGTTCAAAATTCGGCCACTTCCGGTCTGCGCAGAAGTTTCAAAAATACTTTATCAAGTAACCACCACATGGTTTTCCAATAGAAAATTTGATTCCAGATCGATATCTGTTTCCGATTTTGGAGATATAGGCTCCCGCGGTAAATAATATAAATAATAACTAGACCTGCAAGTAGCACTGAACCGGCTTTCAGGAATCAGACAGGAAGTGTGTCATACAATAGCCCATTTATCAAGCTACCAAACGATACTTTAGATGTTTTGATCCGGTCACACCTGACGGTGAAATCTCGATTGTTGCAAGAGCACCGATTTTTTTACTGTCTTTTTTTTTTTAAATATCGAATATATATTTGACTACTTCCTGTTTACGGATCATTATCAGGATAGATTTAAAAAGTGGTATGGGAATTTAACTTCCTGTACCAGAAGTTTCAGAAAGATCCATTGGACAGTTTTACCTCCCTTATACCATTAGAAGCAGATTTTTTTCAAAGATTGTGGTCCATTTGGACCATTTATACTATATTGAGGCTTTTAAATTTGGATTCACACCATAGACCACCGTTAGGACTCTAAGTAACAGAAGTTTTAGAAAGGAAATAAGAGAAGTTTTCGAAATAAAAGCGTGTGAATAGGCTCCAAAAAGGAAAATAATAGATTTTCACCGTTAATTATATATTGCCTAACCCGCTAATTTTTACCATTTAGATGTCACAAGATCGTCCATTGTTCGAACTATCCAATGACACTTTAGTTGATTTGATTCGATGAAATCTTACGTGGTAATCACTTTTTTCGCACGATCACCATTTTTTTACTTTTTATGATTTTTTTCTCAAAATATCGGATATTTTTTCGACTACTTCCGGTTTTGGATCATTGTCGGGATAGTTTTAACAAGTTGTTTGGTTACCTAACCTTCTGTACAAGAAGTTTCAGAAAAATCCATTCAGCTGTTTTCCAAACAAAGAAAAATAGAAGAGCATTTTCAGTAATTTAATAATTTTTCAAATTTTTTCCAAGATTGAGGCTCTTTTTCGACCACTTATATTATTTCAATGCTTTTATTTTTGGATTCACGCTATAGTCCATTAATGGGGCTATCCAGCGATACTTTAGTTCTTTTGGTCCGCTAACATCTGATGGAGAAAACAAGTTTTTCGCAAGAGCGCTATTTTTTTAAAACCTATTTTTCTTCATTTTTTGAATACTTCCGGTATGGAGATTATAGTTGGGATAGTTTTAATAACCAGATTGGCTTATCAAATAGCCACAGGGCTATGTAATGAAATATTACATTGTCTGATCAGATAAAATGCCCCTGGGAAATCCTATGTTCAAAAGTGTCAAAAATATCAAAATGTCAAAATATCGAAAATTAAATTTCAATAACTCAATACATATTATACATGGTTAGAATCGTAATTAGGACAGCTATCT